CATTAAGGCAAATAGGGTAAACTAAAACAAATAGGAAATGCTATACGGATTAGTAAAATATGCTAAGGCCCTATTGTTTTGAACTTATGGGCATAGCAGAGCAGGGTGAGCAGAGCAGATTTCAGGATAGTAGAGGCGCAGAGCAGAGCAAAGGCAAGCAGAGTAGAGCAGAGCAGATTTCAACATTATTATTATTATTATTATTATTATTATTATTATTATTATTATTATTATTATTATTATTATTATTATTATTATATCTCAAAAACAAAACTCATACAACCTACAAAAAATTAGTGGGAAGCCGAGATACAATCTGGGCCCCACTCCTCTAGATATAGAAAAACTTATCCTAGTAAAAATATGAGCAGTAGCACGAGCCCCGATGTCTTGAGTCGTCGAGAACTTCTGAACCCGCTTCATCAACGCAACAACCTCCTTGTCTAATTCCCCAAGTGAAGAAAAGGAGAAGGGAAGGAATCCATATCCAATTGCTCGACAACTAGATTCATACTTGTTCCGCTTCCGATGAGCCGCATCAACCACAACCCGTCCAAGGATAAAGTCAGAAGCCCCTACTGTATCAAAGGAGAAGACCATGTCAAATCAACACATACATCACGACCACGATCCCAGGAATACAGTAATACATCTGCAGGTCTAAGGGCCCCGTCGTTCCCTCCAAACAACCCAACGTCAACCTCCTTTCTAGCTGAAATCCCAGATCGATAACAAACATCAACAACAGTATCCCAAACAACATTATACCGATGTTTAATACCAACCATACCAGCACACGATACCATTGATTTAGGTGCATATACCATTTATTATTATTATTATTATTATTATTATTATTATTATTATTATTATTATTATTATTATTATTATTATTATTATTATTATTATTATTATTATTATTATTATTATTATTATGTGCATATACCATTGATTTAGGTTAGTGAAAACATAAATAAATGTGTACCATATTTAACATATGTTAATAGTCGAAAGATAAAAGACAACGGTTTACTTATATTTATTTCACAAAAATTTTAAAATAAAATTAAATGATTTAGTGAGTAATAATAATTTTACTTATAAATATGTCTTAATCATATATTTTTAACCCTCAAAATAATAATGATATATAAAGTACTACATGAAACAACCTTTTTTTTTTAATTCTTAAATTGTATGGAAAGATTTAAAAAATAATTCAACTCAATGAACTAACAATCAATATCCACATAAAACGTTGCTACACATTATGATTCTTTTTTTTTTCAAGGAATCTACACATTGTGATTCTAATATCAAATGTTTATAAAAAGAAATTGTTATTAATTGTTATTATTATTATTTACTTTTTTTTTGAAAGAATTGTTATAATTATTAGAAATTATTAATTAATAATATTATTTAATATTAATTCTTAATAGTTTGAATTATTAATATTATTATTGATAATAATTATTATTATTATTAATTATTATTATGATTAATAAACATTAATTATTAAAATTATTTTTAATATTAATAATTATTATAACTATTCAAAATAATAATTATTATCATCAATACAATATTAATTATTATTATTATTGAATATTAACTATTATTATTTGAAAATAAAGCAAAGCAGAGCAGAGCAGATTTGATTTGAGCAGAGTAGAGCAGCTCTAAAGAACGGAGCCTAAGTACGATAAGTGCAAGATAAGTAAATTTAATTTATTAGCAAACATGCTTTTAAAATTCAATAACATTCATTAATCCAATAATTCCATACTCATGATTCAAAACCAATTCCAATATTCTCAAACAATTCCAATAACTCAATAATTCAATAATAATTAATACCAATTCATTTTTATATCCAATTCCTCACCCAAGTGTGCACACCCCCAAGCACTACTATAAAACACGTAAATTGCGACGGAAATTTTTCGTCGGAAACACCATGTTTTTCGTCAAAAAACCCATTTTCGACGGAAATTCCGTCGCAACCGGCTGTCGCAATAGTTGTTGTCGGAAAAAACACCCTTTTCCGACAGAATTTCCGTCGGAAGCACTTTTCCGACGGAATTCAGTCCGTTGGAAGCGATTTTTAGGCTCGTCAAAGTCCGTCGGAATTTTCCGACGGACTGTTTTCCTTCGGAAATGTCCGACGGAATTTCCGTCGAAAAGTGGTTTTAAAAAAAATAAAAAAAATCCGTCGGAAAATAAAGAGAGCAGAGGAGGCGGAAATTATGTGTAGGGTTTTGTAAAAGTATATGATGTTTTTAAAAAAAATTATAATATTCCGACGGAAAATTCCGTCGGAAATTTCCGACTGACAATAAATCCGTCGGAAATTGTCTTTTCCGACGGATTTTTTCGTTGCAAAGTAGATATATTTCGACGGATTTAAAATCCGTCGGAATTTTCCGACGGATTTTCGACGCAATTGTTAAATTCGTCGGAATTTTCCGACGAAATGAAAATCCGTCGGAAATTTCGACTTTTTCGACGGAATAATGTGTCCGTCAGAACAAATCCGTCGCTATTTGCTTGTTTTCTAGTAGTGAAGCTAGTCTCCTTATATTACAAGGCTATTCTTGAGAAAAGAATTTGTCATACAAAGTCCAAATTCTTATCAACCAAATCCGCATAATGGGATTACTAACATTCTTTGTAAAGCTTTAATAATAATAATAATAAAAAAAAAAACCCTCTTTATCAATAATTCCAATAAATAACTCAAACTCGTTTTTAATGACATTCAACATGTATTTAAAATCAAGCCATTAAAACATGATAAATAATTTAAATCATCCAAGACATGATATAAAAATCAACAATCCAATTTATTTATTAAAGTCAATTAATTAAACATGCTTTATTTCATAAATCATAATTTAATTCAATTTAATTCAATCACTAATAAAATCATATATAACATGTTATTCAAACCAATCACGCACTTTCAAAGGTTTCTAGCCACCTAAACGTATCTTGATCCTTACTAGAAAAATCACAAAAAAAAACTTCAAGAACCTTTGTTGAACACACCCTACAATTAATTGTAACCTTAATTAATATAAGTTAACAAATAATCACAATAATTAAATTAAAAACCCCAAATAAATGTACATGAACCTTATAAATTATTTTCTCATACACATAATTAAAAATCTGATTATATTTAATTAAAACTACTCATAATAACTTTTTTATTAATCCCCCATAATAATAATAATAATTAATTAATTAAATAAGATAAGAGAAGAAGAAAAGGTAGAAAAACAAAGAAGGAGGAGATAGGTGGCGACAGCTGGTTGCTACCATGGCTGGTGGTGGTGGTGGTTGGGGGCAAGTGGTGCCGAAGGTGTTCGGTGGTGGTGGTTGGCGCACAAGGAGAAGAAAAGGAAGAGAAAAAGAGAAGATAATTAAGAGAATTGAGGTGAGTATTTGCTCATGAATAAAAGGGGTATTTATAGGCTAGCTCATGCATGAATTATGGTAGGAAAATGTAGAAAGAATTATGGCAAGAAGAATTAAGGAATTACTTGGAGAGGTGAATAAAGAAATATGGAAAGTTTTGATATTAAGGAAATTGAGTATAATAAAAATAAGGAAAGTGTGTTGTCATGAAAAATAATATGGTAAAGAAGATTACTTGGTGAATAATCAAGGGATATATAAGGTAGAAAAATATATAAGATGATCAAATATTTAGGAGATGGAAAAATAAAATTAAGGAAAATATTAATTTTGAGGAAGATAATTAAAAATGCTATTACCATAATAATTCCCCCAAACATCCTCCAAGAGGGACAAAAATATTGAGCTTCCATAGCACAATTTTTTGGACTACCTTAGTATATTTTAGGAAGTAATTTTTCTAGTTTTAAGGAATTAAAAATAATTGTGTAAATAATATTTATTGTATAAAATAATTAATTACGGAGTAATAAAATACCAATTATTCACCAATTAGATTAACCTAGAAAATCAGATTTTCCATGCTAGGAAAATCCAAAATTCTTAGTTAATAATTAGGAATTTTTGGACCTTATTAAATAAATAATAAAATATAGTGTTTTCTTTAATTAAAGCATCCGAAATATATAAATAATCCGTTTTTTTTTTAAAAAAAGGATAATAAATCTTATCCAAAATCTAAAAATAAAAATTAGGTTTCAAAATATTTTTGGCGCCAAAATTCAAATATTATTTTGGCTCCAAAATTCAAATAGTAAGTTAAATTACAAAAATATAATTAATTAATTAGAAAAATTCGTATCAAAATACGGGGTATTACACTAATGATTGACAAAGTTATCAATCATTAATAATCAAGGGTATATAGTGTATTTTTGCGAAAACTCGAGGGTATATATGATGAATTTAAAAATGTTTATGAGTATATGGTGAATAAACAAAAAACTCAGGGGTATATGGTGAAAACCACAAAATTTATAACATCTAACTTAACTAATTTAGGGCTTGTTTGACATCGTTTTTTATTTTTAGTTTCAGTTTTTTGAAAACCAAAAACCATAAACCGGAAACAAGAAAAAGGTGTTTCCACTTTTCTGTTGTTAGTTTTCACAATTATCATGATTTAAATAAAGTTGATTATTTTTTTATTCAATATATGACATCTATAATATGATTTTGAAATACAAAAAATCAAAAAACTGAAAACCACAACAATATCAAACGAGCCCTTATGGTTTTGAACATGTGAGTACTAATTTAGAACACCTTGGGAAAACTTTAGAACATCATATTTAGAATTTAGAACATACGAGTAAAAGTTTAGAACATAAAAAGTGTTCTCACATAAGAAAGAGTTCTCACATAAAGGAGGGGTTCTCACGAGAGCCTTCCCTATATAAACGGCGTTTTCAGCCCAAATTAGATTTGTCTGAAAAATGGACATAAATGCCCTTACTAAACAACGTGAAAAGACAGCTCTACACCTTGATAAACAAATTTCATTTATCAAAGTTATAAACTTGTATTTTCTCTATATAATTTATAAAATGTTCCTTCTACTATTTTTTATTGAGTGCATGGTGCACCATGGTGCACGGATCTAGAACTTAAATCTAGATTAATTATATAACGTTAAACGGTTTAAGACTTTAGGCATTTCGTAACTTGCATAATAAAATGTAGATTATTCCGTAATGTTAACCCGTGTATCAAACAGGCTAAACAACTAGTTTAATTTCCATAGCAAAACAAGATAAATATAACTCCATAAAAGAAGATGTCCAAATAGTTGGACAACCTAGCTACATACATTTGACAAATGAGAGTGAGGGATAGCACAAGTGGTTAGAGCTTCCCTCCCGATTTTAGGAGATCCTGGGATCGAATCTCACCCCGCCCTTGTGGCTCTTTAAACACCACAAAAAAAAAAAAAAAAAAAAAAAAAAAAAAAAACATATATTTGACAAATGAGTAACAATATAATATAACAAAATTGCCATTCTAAAACTAATACTCCGTAAACCATTTCTGACGTACAATAACTTTCTGGTTTAAAAGTAGAATATATCAACATGCAATATGCCGGATAATTAATGTTTATCAATGTGGACTCAAAAATAAAAAAGACTCTAAGAGCAAGACGTAAATTAAAATTTAGACCAACAAATACATAAATTAAAAAAGTCTACAGAGTATAATAATGTATGAAAGTGATGCATGAGTGCATGACTATTTGATTAATTTCTTAATTAATACTCCATATCCTTTTTATTTTTCCATTAGTCGTTTAATAAGTTTAATAAGTAAGAAGAACAAAAGGAATCAAAGAGTTAAATAAGTTCATTAGTCGTTGAAATTGTATGTGAACTAACTAGATCATTATCCTTGTTTAAAATAAAAAAAAAAAAAAAAAAAAAAAAAAAACTAGATCATTATCCTATTCATATCGTTGGTTATTCAATAATTATTGCATGAATTAGTGATATAATATAATCTCACCGCCTCTCATGTCATCAAAAAAAAAAAAAATCCTCTTCAAAAATTGTGTTTAATTCAGACTTTTATTTTTTTATTTTATTTTTATTCAGACTCAATTGCTTTAAATGACTATTTTTCCAACAAAACAAATTTCAATTTTCAGGGTAGATTTCAGAAAGCAAAGAAAAAAGAGAAAGAACTAGAAGTAGAAAATAAAAATAAAAATAAAAAATGGGAGTCAATGATTTTCTTCATATGAATAAAGGTGATGGTGAGCTCAGTTATGTTCAGAATTCCTTTGTCCAGGTAACTCTAAGTTTTGAATATGATTTTTGTATCTCAACATTTACTAAATGTTTAATTTTATGTACTCCTTGATCAAGATGATCACTTAGCTTGTGTGCAATACTCTATTGGGATTACAATGTCTATTAAACAAGTCTACTTTTAGCCCATATGATCCACAAAATCGATATCTAGACCAAGAAATTGTGAATATGTGGGGTAGTTAGAGTCATTCTACTTGCCATAAAAATAATTAAGCAGATATAGAGTAAATAAAAGAAAAGTTGGTAAAAATAACCCAATTTTTTCCCGTTTGCTTTAAATAATCCTAACTTTTGAATATTTTAAATCATCCAAACTTTTGGAGTTATTCGCTTTAAACAGTCTTAAGTGACTGGTAACCTGTTAAAGAAGTATTTTTTTTAATTTAAGTGACACGTTTCACCACATGGTTGGTTGAATTTTTTTTTCCTGCACAAAAAAAAAAAAAAAAAAAAAAACCCACCACCACCAACCCGAATTCCTACAACCCTATCCCCCCTAGCCAGATACCCCCGGCCCTAACCGTCGCGCCAGACCTTCCCTAACTCCTGAACCACCTTACCAAAACCACCACCACAAAACCTCCTTACCTTCGCCCGAAACCCTTAAAATAACCCATGCCCACCGCAAAAACCCCTAATCGGCCCTCCCCCACCCTCAAAACAGTAATTTCTAGGGTTCCGAGGGTGGGAGAGGGCCAATTTGGGGGTTTGTGCGACGAGGCTGGGTTATTATTTTAAGGGTTTCATTTTTTTTTTGTTTTTTTTCGGTGTACCGTAGATTATAACGTGATTTAGGGGGAAAGAGGAGGGAAGCATCGACGTAGAATGAGAGAGGGTCTTGGAGCCTGCGTAAGGAGGGTTGGCGGCGATGGGTGGGGGCTCCAGAAGCAACTAGTGGGTTGTGGTAGGGAGGTTGTTGTGGGTGCGTGGTGGTAGAGACATTATATAACGAACGAGCAAAAGTTGAAATTATTTTTACCAACTTTTCCTAAATAAATCATGCATGTCATGTGATGTAGGTTTTTCCCATAACATCTCATCCATCTAAATTTATGTTTTCATCATTTAAATAAGATTTGACCTTTTTTTTTATACATTATTCCTGGTGATTTAAAATTTCAAATGATATTTCATTAGATTTTTATTAATGTGTATTTATTACTTATATTTAAAAAAATTTAAAAGGAAAACATGTAACTAATAATCCCACTTTTGGCCAGTTCGAAGATAATAATTCAACTGATCGATTATTTTTAATGTTGGATTATTATTTAATAATTCCACCATTGGGGACATCTTCTTCTAATAGTCTTTGACTTGTTAGAAACCAATATAATGTGTTAACATGTCATGTGTCACTTTGTAATTCATCAGTGTGTATATATATATATATATATATATATATATATATATTTTAAAAATTAAAATTTTATTCAATTTTTTTATTATTATTTTCTTTCCCTTTCCTTTCCTTTTCCCCTTCCCCTCCATTAATTTCGGCCACCCTGACTAACCTCCTCCCACACGCAGCCATCTCCTCTCTAAAATCATGCATGTACCCTCACCCACGACCAGTGGCAGATCTAGGATTTTTTTTTTCTTATATGTATTTGGAATTTCCAAACACATATAATGAAATGAAATAACATAATCCAAAATACAAATTAAATTAATAATTTGGGCGTGCACATGTTAATTTAACAAAAATTACAATTGAACTCATTTAGTCTTCATATTTGAACAAAAAAAGTCTTCATAATTTAGTGTTTGCAGAAAGAAAATTATTTTGGGTATAGGGATTATCATCTTATCTACCATGCATCAAGTTAGTAATAAGTTGGTAGAGCTGATCACACTGAGCCCGACCCGCTGGCCCGACCCGACCTGACCCGATTTGAGGTGGGTTTTGGGCAGAATTTTTCGGCCCAAATTTTAAATAGGTTTGGACGGGTTTGGGAAATGGATTTTTTGCATTTTTAGTTGTTTTTTTGGCCCGGCCCGAAAAGCCCGTATGCCCCAACTAGTTTGGACTGGTTTGGGCACACGTCTTCCAGCCCGAAGTTTGGCCCGACTCGTCTCGGCCCAAGAAATGGGCAAATTCTTTTTATCTCGGCCTGGCCCAAACCCGACCGGGCCCGCCTATTGATCACCTCTATAAGTTGGTAAAACCAATTTATTTTTCCAAAAGAAATAGTCATATAAAGGGCGTTGTGGGTTTTCAACCCACCACAATCGGTGATAAATTATAAGCAACTATCACTAGGCTGTAGGCTATTAGGCTACGTTTTCCCACCCAATTAACTCGATCTCTTCCTAATTATTTAAAGTCTTAGTGTTGTTCTTTCTTCCCTAAACTCATATAACATTTAAAAATTTAAGCAATTCTATATAATTTCTCACCAAATCAAGTAATGTTTTAAGCTTTTTTTTTTTTTTTTTTTTTTTTTTGGCTTATTTATTTGGTTTGTATGTATGTGGGTTTAACTTCAATTATCATAATAAGGGATTCAATTTAGAGTTTATGGTTTCAATTTAATTTAGAGATTTTAATTTCTAGGGTTTAAGGCTTGAATTGAACTAGGGATTTTGCTTTATTTAATTTGGGTTTTAGGGTTTGAATTCAATTATGTTTTACTTAATAAGTAAGAAAGAGAGAGACAATACATGAAAGGAACGAAAGAATAGGATTTTTGCTGAATAGAGGAAAGAATTTCCTTCTTTAAGATTAACTTAGGTTATATTAAAATGGTTAAAAGTTAAAAGAGAAGGAAAAATAGAGGTAAAGTTAATGAAAGAGGATAGAGGTAGTTGGGAAGGGAGTTCATTGGGTGGAAAAATGTAGGTGAGCTGGTGAGGGACCTACAAATCACTTAATTAGACGAAATTCGTTAATGGGTGGTATTAGACAAAATTTAGGCATCTTTGGGGAATTTCTTGACAAAATTTCCTTATATATATAACTAAATTTTGGTTTTTAATTAGGGAATTTTGTCAAGAACTACCAATTAAAGCACGAGTTTTGGAAATAACTACCTATTATTATTTTTAAGAACTGCAACAAAGTTGTAAAAAGTTTAACTAGCACTACCACTCTTACAATTTCGGCTAGAATATTTGGCATGTAGTTTCCACTTTTTACCTTTACATCATAAAATTACTATCTGAATTGACTAAATTACCCTTATAAAGGTAAACTGTGATTAAAAAGAGAGACCCAAATGCCGGATATTCTAGCCGAAATTGTTAGAGTGGTAGTGCTTGTTAAAATTTTTACAACTTTGTGGTAATTCTTTACAAAAAAATATTTAATAGGTAGTTGTTATAAAAACACGTGCTTTAATTGGTAGTTGTTGACAAAATTTCCTTTTAATTAAACAGGTCAAATTTTTACTAGATCCTATATGGGTTCAGTTGAACCCAGGCCATACTGGATCCGCCATTGTCCACGGCCGGCCACCCCCCACCCACAGACCAGCCATCCCCATCCACAAAAATTCCACCCACAGACAAGCCACTGCACCCCATCCACGAAAAACTCACCCAAGGTCGGCCACCCTACCTACGTTCTACCATGACTGGCGGCAATCCTATGCACAAATAAAATCCTCACCTCATGAAAAAACTCATCCTTCCTCTTCTCGTGAAACACCCAACCGTACTTAGGTATTCCCCATTTCCCTTATTGTTGCTAATGTTACCATTGTGGTAAGAAGAGAGAGATTGCGAGGTGGGAAGTCATGAAAAGGAAAGGGAGGAGAGACAATGGGCTGAGTTGTAATAGAAGGCTGGATGGGTTAGGGAGAATAGAGCAAAAAAAAGAAAAATGAAAAAAGAAAAAAGAATACCCATTCTTCAAGTTACTGGTCATAATTAAGGGGCCAATAGGAGAAGATGCCCCCCCCCCCCCCCCCAATTAAGGTGGGTTTTGATTAGGGGATTTTTATCCTCCAATCACCTTCTGACAAGTGGACCAACCAGGTTCCGCCACGTGTCCTTCACGTAGGCCAATAGGAGCCTGCCACGTGTCAATCACAGATACGTCCTCTGCGGACCAATTGAGACACGCCACGTGTCCACCCATGCCAAATGGGAAAACCGGCCACCAAGGCCCAATCCTGTTTAGAGGCCCGGTCAGCCCTAGGTTTACCCTAAACCTAGAGAGTGGCACGCTTCTCAAGACTATAAATACTCTTCTTAATCCTCATTAAGAAGGGGGAGAGAAAAAGACAGAGAACTCTAATAACACACGGATTATACATTAAACACTCTCACCTAGAGAGACTAAACCACTTTAATTTCCGCACTCATCACTCCTTAATCAGGTACTAACTTGACCGTTGGAGGCGGAGCTCTCAGGAGTCTCCGTTATTTTGCAGGTACAGGCGGCCGGTTCCAGTCTCGGTGTTGTAACTCTCCCGCAGGACATCAGAAAACCCCGAAACAGGTTTATTATGTTGTATTTTGTTTCAATAATCTCAACTTTGTATTATTCTAGAATAATCCGAACTTTGAGGGTTGTTTCATCAATCCATAACCGGTCAATGACCTATTATTCAGGTCACTTGACACGGGTCAAGCCATAATTGTTAAAAAAAAAATTATAAAAAAAAACCAAAAATAACTAAACCACCAGATAGGCTCCCCTTCTCCCAGCCCACCTTAACCTCCACCCCAATGCTAAGTCTGCCGCCTCTTTCTCGCCGGCCAGCAACGGGAAACACCATTCGATGGGTCCGTCTTCCTCCATCCCTGAAACACCCTGCAATTCCCCACGAAACCACCAATGAAACCCCTCCCCATTGCCAAAAACCCCAAATCATTCCTCCCACCACCCCAAAACCCTAAGAGGTATAAGGTTTTCGGTGGTGGGGGGGGGGGGAGTTTTTGGGGGTAAAAATGGTGGTTTTAAGCGATTTACTAGTGGAGGGAGAGGCTTCAAAGGAGGTTGGGGGTTTCCAATTTATAATGGTAGCCGAAAAACGGGAAAAGGAGATAAGGAGTGAGATTGGGGGTTTAATTTGCGATCGAGAAAGCTAGCCGGAAAAGGCCGACTGCGGCGTAGGAAAGGGGAAACTGGCGCAGGGGGAGGGGAAATGGCAACAGCCGTTGGCATAAAGGGCAGAGCGAAAGTTTGGGGTTAGGTTAGTGTTTTTTATTTACTTTTGTTTGTTTTTTTACACAAATTAAGTTGTGACACGTGTCACTTTAAAAAAAAATTCAACCGATCACCGGTTTTTGGGATTGACGTAAATCAACCACCTTCTAAATTCGGATTATATCAGAATAAACTATAGTTGAGATTATTAAAACAAAATACAACAAAGTTATGATTATTATTTACAATTTTTCGTAAATGAAAATCAATAAGTGGGATTATTCCGCAAGCTAGTCAAAGAAGGGATTATTAAAATTAAATTTTCCAAAAACTATTTGTCAAGATTATATAAATACAACAGTTTAAATATTTATTTTCAATCACTACAATTTTAAAATAATCATTTAAAAGTCTGTATATATATTAATTATTATGTTCACGCGTATTTTAAAGAGAGTGTGGCTAACGAACCAACCCATATTAGAGAAGACAATTGAATCTCTAATTTCGGAGAATAAATACTTAATTAAAGGTCTTAATGTAGCTGATTTGGGATGTGGAGTGGGCCCAGTTCCATTGGCTCTAGTATCATTGGTGATTGAAATTATGCAAAGGAAGTACAAGGAGTTGAAGCTTGATAGTCAAGTTCATCAATTTTTTTTTGGTAAATAAACACCCTACACTTCATATGTATATGAATGACCTTCCCTCAAATGATTTCAGCTTATTGTTTAAGAATTTACTGAATTTGGAGGCTTTAAAGAGAAAAGACGACAATGGTGAGCCCTTATGCTTCTTGATGGGTGTTCCTGGCTCTTACTATGACATGCTTTTTCCTCGCAACAGTTTGCACTTTGTTCATTCTAATTATGCTCTTCACCGGTTATCCAAGGTTTGTTTTGCTAAAAACTTATCATACTTTTTTTATATGGGATGAAATTATTCTATTTTTTTTCTTTATGTGATGTATATGCTTTCCTCAATATATATTCATGTTAAAGAACTAGTCAATATAATTGTATAGCACAAATTTTATATGTAGCTTGCCATACCGTGAAATCGGGGTTACTTGAGGAGTTGAGGGTTCGGTCAAGGGTTACTTGAGTAGTTTGGTCGGGGGTTACTCATTCAAGGGTTACTTGAGAGGTTCAATCTTACTCAGACAGGAATTACTTGAGATGTTACTCTATTAGGGAATACTTGAGGAGTTCGGTCAATGATTACTCAAGAGGTAATTAGGCCAATGGTTACTTGAGGGGTTACTCTTGTGTTGGCTGGCCACTGTGTTAGCTGGCCACACGGTGTGGCCAGCCACACAGAAAAAGCCCTCATTGTATTGTGTAGAGTAAATGATTAGTCCTTTTGCTTTTGAATTGAGAGATCTATTGTAGTTTGTAGTCAGTCAACTTCATGACTTTGTATACTTAATGTACAGATACCACCAGGACTTTATGATGACCAAGGTATGCCGATAAACAAGAAAAACATTTATACAGCCGAAACAAGTCCTAAATCAGTAGCAAAAGCTTATTGGGATCAATTTGAACAAGACTTCAACCTGTTTCTGAAATGTCGCTCGAAAGAAGTTGTATCCAATGGATTTATGCTCTTAACTCTTACTGGCTCACCATGTTCTTCTACGAATTCATCGATTTGGAGGTCGTATGGGTTCAATCTATTGACTGAGGCCCTTCTTTGTCTTGTTTCAGAGGTCTTACACTTTCTCCACCTCTGTCTTATTTTTTTAGATAGATGTTGCTACAGTAACTCCCTTCATTTTTTTTTAAATGCAACAGTTCTCTAAAATGACCGCCTTTTTATAAGTTTAACGGTCTTAACACACACTATTTAAAGTGGAGTATATATAGATAAATATTTTTGGATGAGTCAAGAGGATTTATTAATGATGGCTTACAATTAGTATCTTTCAGGGGTTAATCAAGGAAGAGAAGCTAGATAATTTTGATTTCCCTTGCTATCTGGCAAGCACAGATGAACTTGAAATTATAGTGCAAAAGGAAGGGTCATTTGTTGTTGAACATTCAGAGACATTGCCACTTGATATTGCACCTGAAATTGAGGACAAATGGGAAAGATCTCAGATAGTTACCAACTTCATTAGAGCATTTTCGGAATCAGTACTTTCCCATCATTTTGGAGACGAAATAATCACCCCTTTCTATGAAAAATTCACATATTGTGTATTTCAACATTTGGCTCAAGATAAGCTTCTTCAGCACTATGCTGTCACGGTTTTACTTAGAAAAGTATAAGCGTTATAAAATGAACTGAAATAAATACTCCCTTTGTTTCCAAAAGTTGTTCCAGCGTGGATAGTGATTGTCTCACAATAAAAGTCAAACAAAAACTTTTAGAGATAGAGGAGTGTCTCTTTTCGACCATTTGTGTATGTTGATTTGGTTTATCAAGTGTATTGTGCTGGTGTTGGATCCTTTGGCATCGATTCATCAATGTTTTGAGGTCGTGGAGGAGTCCTTGTTAAGAATGAAAAGAAGAATCGGGAAGCTTTAAGTTTTACAGTATACATAAGAGCATCTCCAATGGTAAGCTACAAAGGCTTGTAGCTTGCTTTGTCATGTTAATTTTTAAGGCTACAACCTATTTAAGCTACAAAGTACTCCAATGGCAAGCTACAAGAAGTTGTTGCTTGATTTGCCACATCATTATTTCAAGCTACAAAGTACTCCAATGGTTGGCTATATAATTTTGTAGCTTGCATGTAATACTTTATTTACTACACTATATGAGCTGAAAATTTCATTGCTATTTTACTTACTTTTACCAAAAAAGTTCTAATTTATAATATAATTTTATAAGTTGTGCCTGCTATCAATATTAAAATTTATATGCAATAATTTATATAATTTCATATAAGTTGTTTTGTACTCGTATTATAAGACGACTTGCTTGCGATTTAATTATTTGAGCTTGTACGAAGTATTTAATATTTTCATCAAGAGAATTGATAACCTTTTCCATTTAAAAAAAAAAAAAAATAATTATTGATAACTTTTCTCCCTAAATTTATTTGCATATTTTATTATCAACATTTGACAATACAACTAAATAAAACTAATTAACAAAACAACATTCCTTAAACAAAAAAAAAAAAAAAAAAAAAACAAAAAAACAACTTAGCAACTTAAGATCAATTCAAGTTATAGCTACCAAAACGTGACCAAATATGCTCAACTAAATCAGCCTTTAGCTGGTGATGCATTTGTCTATCTTGGATTGTTGCATCTCTTTCAAGATATGACTCAAAATTCTCCATGTCCTTGATGCACATCATCAACAACACTTGGTGAAAATTCATCGTTAGGAAAGTTTTTGTTATAAGTGTGACGCTCGTCTTCAACAATCATATTATGTAATATAATACACGCATCCATAATATCGTGGATATTGCGTTTATGCCAACAACGTGCAGGCCCACGAACTATAGCAAATCGAGATTGGAGTACCCCAAATGCCCTCTCAACATCTTTCCTTGCACTCTCTTGCTTTTCCTTAAACAAAAGCCTCTTCGGGTGCCGAGGATGGTAGCTTGACATGTTGTCTTGCAAATTAGGCATTGTAGTATTGGGATAATAGTAGCCAGGGTGGTAGTGTGTTTGAGGGTAGGAATTTTCGGAGGTGAAATTTCCACTATTTGATGAATTTCCCAAACCAAAATGTTTACTAAATGGATTATCCGTATCATCCATTCAAATTTTTTACGAGGAATTAATCGTAGATATGAAAGTATTTGTAGATTATGTTTTTTTGAAACAATATACTGGTTGTATTCTTAAGGTTAAAAAACTTATTTATAGATGTATAAGCTAATAATTCAAAGTTAAATATGGTTACCAAATATTGTACATTGGCTAAAATTTTGGCAAAATATTTTATTGACAAAGTCTAATTTGTTATCATATATAACGTAATCAAAAATTTTAAATTTTAAAATACCTATAATCTCGTACAAGTGATCTTACGAATATAATGAATGTTACTAAATTTTTTAACAAAAAGAATAAAACAAAGTATACCTATAACCTATAAGCTAGGAAGCACATTAGTCAACATTAGCTAGAGCATGTCAGTTACACCTTCTGATAAAGATGAAAAATTGATTTTAAAATGTTTTTTTCTTTTTAGAAAAAGATAAAAAAAAAAGTTGTTGCATTATCTTTTGAGCAATTGTAGATCACGTAGAGCATTTCCATTAGCCGTGCATACCACACTCCAATTTTTTAAAATAATATATAAATCTTGAAAATTTCCAAGCAGTGTTGCTCAAGTGAGCAGTGCTGCTCTTCCAAGCAGGTATGTAAATTTTGTTCCAATGGTCAAGCTACAGTTTTAATATTTTTAAATATTGCAAGCAAGACCCTAAAACTAACCATTGGAGATGCTCTAAGGATTACATTGCTGCTTCTGTTGCATTTACTCTTTTCCCTTTTTTTTTCTCAAATTACTTACTCCCTCCGTTTCATAATTAAAAGTCTATTTCTTTTTATGACTTTATTGTTAAAGTAATAAATGTTAGAAAGACTTATAATTATGAAATAGAGGGAATACAAAATATTTTGTTTTTGTTTCTAATACAGTAATACGTGATCCTTTTATGAGTTGTATCAAGTATATTTAAATTTTTTTTTTTGAGGAAGTATATTTAAATTGATTGTTCTCGAAATGAGGGAATTTCATTGTTAAAATTATGTTCGTAAACATGAAATAAATCTAGTGTGAATGTGTCATCATCATATCTTATGATTTGAATAAAATTTGGCTATTTTGCATGCCAATACAGAGGGAAAAAAAACAAGTGGGATCAATCTTGAGATGTTAAAATTTTTGTTATGAGTATAATGGACTCATAAGAAACATATATTTGATTAAAATCTTGTTAAGAGCTCGATTGATTGTTGAAACAATCATTTTGTTGTTGGCTTAGCTTGCGGCCATTGAGAGCATTGCGTAACATGTTGTGTTTGGTACCTACTCGGCTACTCGTCGGTTATTCACCCCTAACTAAAAACAAATTGTTTTAACTATTGAAGGAATTATCAGACTTTAAACAATATAGAAGTGTACAACATTCAAATTTTTAAATCCAATAAATAAATAGATTTTTTTATTTTATTGAGAAAATAATATATAGAAATTATACAATCAATACATTGTTTTTCACATACACAAAATAAAATATAATAAATAAAAAGGTAAATATAAACTTCTATACTATATACGTAGTACTAAAGTAATCACCAGAGGTGAAACTTGGCATAATTTTGTCAAAAAATTTCCATACTATAACACATAAAAATTTAAAGGATAGACATTAATAAATTTAAATTTCAAAAAAAAAGTGTTAATTAAGTCATTTAATTTCAATTAACTTTATTTTAATTGACTATTTTTATTAATAATAAATCGTACTTTACAAATCCGTGCATTACACTGGGCCGAAACTAATTTAGAAAATAAATAAAACACCGAAATGTTTCTAACTCTCCAAAATCATACACCCTCCATTTCTTTTTTATTTGCATCACTTTCCTTTTTGGGTGTTTTTATTAAATGCATTACTTCTATATTTGGTAACTTTATACTATATTTTATCATTTCTCTTTCTTACTTTAAACACCACTCAACTTATTTTATCATTTCTCTCTCTTCCATGGTCCCCACTAAATAATACGGAGTAAAATTAAATATTTATCCTCTATTACACACTTTTTCTTTCATGGTCCCCATTTTATTTTTACTATATAATAATTTATTCACCCACTCACAATATTATATTATTCTCCTAAAACTTTGTGCAATCCAAAAAAAAAAATAAAAAAAAAATCGAAGGGAGTAATTTCAATGAAATGCCACCATCTTCTTTTGGGATTGGGATGATATACGCTAGAGCTTGTCCTGATGGAGTTTCGTTATGCATAGAGAAACGCAGACAAGGGGTAAGAGTGTAATTACACGTATATGCATATTCAGAATTAAGAGTAGGACCATTGGATGACTAATACTATCATTGGATGTTCAAATACTACCATTGAACATTCAGTGGTACAATATGTATTGGTAATATATATGCATTCAGTGGTACTAACTACGTGTAGGAATAATATCACTAAATAGACAATGGTATTATATAAGCTTTCAGTGATATACTTAAAAGTGGTCCCATTTACCTATCTCTCTCCTCCTTTCTCTCTTTTTCATGTACTTTTTAATATTTTTATATTTGTTATGCATTTGCAAATGCATAACCAAACTGTATTAATACTTCCTCTGTAAGCTTAGCCCTCGTATATAAATATTATTCCACCATTGGCCGCTAACTTGGGTAATTGGGCCAAAGAGTTTATCATAATATTTGGACATGTATAATGTGGGGCCCATAAATCAGATTATTTAGGTCGAGGAAGTGGAAATGGAGAAATGTTATGCATTTGTAAATACATAGTATTGATTAAAATATTTTTAAAACACATGGTAGAAAGAGAAAAGAGGAGAGAGATAGGAAGAGAGAGGTCTGTAGGTGGACCTCACCTATTTTTTGGTCGGATTATATCATGTGATGGTGGACCACATGTTGATTGTTCCATTGAAAGTTTATATGGTACCATTGAATATGATACCATTGAATCCTCAGTGGTACTATTTATGCATAAATTTTATACAACTGAATGCATATATAATACCATTATGTGCATATATAGTATCACTGTATATTCAGTGGTACCATTTGATCATCCAATGATACCAGAATATGCTTTCGTTTGTACATATGTATACTTACATGAATACCCCTCGTTATGCATTTTTCATGCCTAACATTCCTCCCTTTAAAATCCCTCATTTAGGTCAGTATGTGATTCTAGGTTTAAAAAAAAAAAAAATTACTCTTGCCAAAAAAAAAAAGAAGAGTAATCAATTGATGATCTTAAGTTCTCTGTGTTTTGAGCTTTCATTATAGCTTCGTGTATTGCACATTTGCACTCGCTGCGTATGATACCGGCTTGCATTTGATATCACTTGCCTTAGCAGTAGCCAGTAGCATTCTTAGCAATGCAAGTTTGCAAGCAGTATTGCGGTAAAGAAACTGACATTACCAAAATATCCTCGTGGTAAAGTTGGATCCCTCAATTTTAATTGATGGTCCATTAGTGGTAACTGGGTCTATAGAGTTTCACACGTGATCACCTGTTAAATCACGTCCCTTACACGCACTTTGTCACATGTGCCCCACGAGCACCTTGTATGTGCTTAGCTTGTACTTCCTCCACAGTTGCTCTTGTGTATGGCTAACCACTGTGTGATCACTTATAAAATAATAAAGGATATTTTATGAAAAATTACCTTGTAAAATACTTTTTTTTTCGAGAAACTACCTAATAAAAAAATAAGAAACTACCTTATAAAAGGGTAAATGTTGTAAGAGACTATCATTAGACGAAAATTTATCATTAACTTTTATTTTCCGGCGTTCAGTACATCACATGCCAATTAAGAAAAAAAGGAGGGAAAGGGTGAATTAAAATTGACGTGGCATTAATCGACACATAAATAGCAATAGTGCAATAATACATGGCATTAATGTCGTATACAAATGTATTAAATGCATTTATATTGCAACCACCGTTGTCAAAATAATGCATTGGACGAATATTTAAACAGATTGCATTTGCATCTATATATTCATATAATGTTTACAGATCAATGTAAGATAGCAAAAAACAAATGGAGGTTTCTTGGTTATGCTTAGCACTCTTCATATTATCTCTCCTTGTAGTATTCAATCTTTTGAAAAAACATACACCAAAAAATTTACCACCAGGACCAACAAAGTTACCCTTGATTGGCAACCTACACCAACTAGCATGGGGAAATACCCTCCCACACCGTCGCCTCGCCGAGCTGGCGACGGTGTATGGGCCTATCATGCACCTCCGACTCGGAGAAGTTCCTACCGTTGTCGTATCATCGGCTGATATGGCAAAGGAGGTGATGAAGACTCATGATGCTGTGTTTTGTAATAGGCCAACTCTTATGGCTGGGAAAGAGCTTTTCTATGATTCTTCGGACATTGGATTAGCCCCGTACGGTGAGTATTGGCGGCAGGTGCGAAAGATCTCGGTGCTCGAGCTGTTTACGATGAAGCGGGTCGAGTCGTTTCGGGTTATTAGGGAGGAGGAGGTTGCGGAGTTTGTAGAGTTGCTAAGGTCGGAGGCAGGGTCTGTGGTCAATCTTAGCCAGAAATTCTTTGCCCTCACTTTTGACATTACATCTAGGTAACTTGGGTTTAATTTACTTTTGCTTTTTAAACTTTGCTATGCAATATGTTTGACCTTATGCTAGCTAATTTAGTCGGTAAAGTTATACATAGACATCTACTATTTATATTGAATCTATAATTTAAGATCGATTTGATTATTTGGATCAGATCATTTTGAGTAAAGTAAACAATTAAGTCAGGTACAATAATAGATCGGTCTAATTTGGCTTAGGCTATCTTCAATATGTATGTTCAGGTCAATTTGATTTGGTATTTGAGTGGAATTTTCATTTTAAATAACAGAACATTTTTTTGTGCATTTAAGAATATTACTATGTATATGATGATTAGGTGATGGAGTATCTTACAGAACTTGTTCACATGTAATTTAAAATTAAAATCAAAGTCATAAGTTCTTAATGTGTAAGTAAAAGTAATTCAAAATTTGAACATGTGTTTATTAAACTAAAATGGTCTAATACATCAGGATAGCCTTCAATAAGAAAGGCAAAGAGCAAGAAAAATTTAAAGCTCTATCAGCAGCTTTTACAAAGATTGCCTCAGGTTTCTCCATTGCAGACGTCTACCCGTCACTCGATTTTCTTCATACGATAAGTGGGATGAAGAAGAAATTCAAGGACCTTGTTCAGGAATCAAATAGATTACTTGATCCTGTAATTGAAGAACACAAGTCTAATAAGAAGAACAATCAGGGTAAACAAGAGGAAGACTTAATCGATGTTCTACTCAACTTTCACAAGGATAATGTCAAAACTTCTCATGATTTCTGCTTGAGTACAGATAACATTAAGGCGATTGCATTGGTAAGTTGCCGGACCTCCATTCATATATATACATATCATGCACATTTGCACAAATTTTTACATGGTACTACTATGTGCTCCCTTTTCTGACATATCGCATATGACATCCTCATACCCAGGCACCCAGCAATATGTTAACGACCCATCTCAACTAAAAGTTTAAACTGATAGTTGAGGTCCAGAAATATATTTTTATTGTTTTATACTTTATCATTTTTGTCCTGCAAAGGCTTTTACTAACCAAATGACCCGTCTTACATACATAATTGTGTTGATCAAGGATTAAGCTAAGCTAGACCCGGCAATCCTGACCCAGACCTGATGACCCGACCCTAATGACCCGACCCATGACCCGAAATCGACCCAAAACCAGTGACCTGAAATTGACCCAAAACCCGAATTAACCCGACCCGAAGTGGAACTGACCCGACCTTGACCCGAAACCCGAAATGACCCAACTTGAAACGATCCAACTCGAGATGACCCGACCCAAAGTTGAATCGAGACCCGAAACGACCCGATCCGAAGTTGACCTGACCCGACCTTTATCTTCTTTTAGTAAATAATTATATAAGTTATAAAAAGTTTATATTAGGAAATTATACATTAAAATAGACCCAACAACATCTTACATGACTACATTGACTTTCATATAATAGCTAAAGAAGATGGTCAAAGTGAGATGTGTGAATAGTGCAAAATGTCAAATCGTTAAGAGTAATTTGGGACGGAGAGGTAGTTCAAAGAAATTATTACAACAATGACGATAATGATAATAAGAGTACGTATTAAAACTAAGATCAATAAGAGAGTGAGGTATAACTCAATTAGTTAGAGGATCCCTCTTATTTTCAGGAGATCTTGAAAGTGATTCTCAGTCTAAAATTCTAAACACACACACAAAAAAAAAGGTTAATAAAAGTCAAACAATTACTATAATCCATGAAAAAAAATAGCCTTAATAAATATAGTGAGTTTTTCATCATATATATATATATATATATATATATATATATATATATATATATATATATATATATATATATATATATATATATATATATATATATATATATATATACATGGTTGAATTTAACCCAATGAATCACCCGAATATGACTCGACTAGAAGTTAACCCGACCCGAAAATTGACCTGACTCGACCCGAAAACTGACCCGACCCAAACTTGACCCGACCCGAACTCGACCCGAAGTGTTGACCCGATACCCGACCCGACCCGATTATCGGCCGACCCGAAATTAACCCGAAACCCAAAATGACCCGACCCGATAATCTTTTGACCCGAACTTGACCCTACCCGAAATGACCCGACCCATACCCGACCCGAATGACCCATTTGCCAGGTCTAAGCTAAGCCCATTAACTTGCATTGAAATGAAGAAAGTTACCAACTAACGTAACTTATTTTATTTTGCTTTGCTTACTTGGAAATCGGACATTTCAACTAGAGGAGGGAACATAGATATTGAAACATCACCTTAGGTTGTAGCCACAATTAAAATCCTTTGATAGGTTATTTGAAATTAAGTCATTAGCATTATGTGGTGAATAATAATGGTGATCTAAACATTCACAATTTGCTTGTGCTTGTAGGAGCTTTTTGGTGCAGGAAGTGAGACATCATCAACTGTAATGGAATGGACGATGTCTGAATTGCTAAAAAATCCAAAAGCAATGGAGAAGGCACAAGCTGAAGTACGACGAGTATATCAAGGAGAGGTTGTAGTTAATGAGACAAAGCTACACAAGCTCACGTACTTGAAACAAGTGATCAAAGAAACCTTACGCCTCCACCCCCCACTTCCTCTCTTGGTTCCTAGAGAATCCGTTGAAAGATGTCAAATCCAATCTTATGATATACCTATCAAAACTCGAGTAATTATCAATGCATGGGCTATAGGAAGAGATCCTAAATCTTGGTTGGAACATGAGAGATTTAATCCCGAAAGATTTGAAGATTGTTGTACAGATTACAAAGTAAGTGATTTCGAGTTACTTCCATTTGGTGCAGGGAGAAGAAAGTGCCCTGGCGTGGCACTTGGTATAGCTAATGTTGAGCTCCCACTAGCCATGTTACTCTACCACTTTGATTGGAAATTACCTCTTGGTGATGGAAATCCTGAAAATCTAGATATGGATGATTCTTTTGGTATAACAATGCGAAGGAAAAATGATTTGCATGTAATTCCAATCCATTGGCCTTACTAATCTTGCATAGTGTAAAGTAATTTATATTTTTGCTTTATTGAAATGTGATTTTTCTTAAATTATATTGAACAAAAGTATGGTAATATAGGGAGACATTATATGTGTTTTCATTCTTTTCTTTTGTTGTCTATCGGATCGATTGTTAGTTGATCTGATAATATTTCATAGAAACTAGGTTGAAACCATCTAATTTAAAAGGCGGGTGTGTAATGTTGTTTAGGACCACTCTCAAATGAAAGTAGAGTGCAAGTCATACAGGCATACAGTAGACTGAATACATGGGCCTATGTAAGATAACTTCACTTGAGGTGATATATACTACTTCCTCTATTTTTTATTAGATATTTAAAATATTTTCTTAAAATTAAAATATCACAATACTTAATTGTAACACAAATACAGGAATTTTTTTTTTTAAGTTCATACACTACAAGAAAAAGGGTAATTAGCGACGGCCAAAGTAGTCGCAATTCCGTCGCAAAAATGGATTTGCGACGGATTTGCAACTACTTTGGTTCGTTGCCAAAGACCTCGTCGCAAATCCATTTTTGCGACTAATTTTTGAACAGTCGCAAATATAGCGACAGATTTGCAACGCCTTTGCAACTATCATTTAGCGACTAAATTTCAAATTTTAGCAACTAAATTATTGTCCGTCGTAATTTATTTGCGACGGATTAGCAACTACAAAGATCAATGTTTTAAGACTACTTTTGCGACGGATTAGCGACTGCAAGACCAAATTTTTGCGACTACGAGACTAAACTTTTGCGACTACGGAGACTAGTTTTATTGTGACGGATTTGCGACTATTGAGACTAATGTTTTTTGCGATGAATTAGCAACTACATACGAGACCAAATTTTTGCGACTACAAAACTAATTATTTGTGACAGATTAGCGACTACTGAGACTAATGATTTTGCAACTAACCAATTAGTCTCTAAATCAAATTTGCAGTCGCTAAATATTTGCGACTAACTATCAATATTTGAGACCATAATCAAGCAACCACCAATATTAATCACAAAACAAAAAAAGGTACCCACGCATAAATTCAAATAACCAAAATGTTAATTTTATTCAAATATCCAAAATATAATCAATTTTGTATCAATGTATTAAAAAACAATATTTAACTCATATGACTAATTGTTCCAAAAGTCACCTCCCATATAAAAAATGCTGCTTCAAATAAGAACTAATGACAATGTAAAAGACCAGTTCATAAAATTACCACCAAAAAAATTAAAATCACTTAGTTGTATCACGAGAGCGGGTGACTGCAGGCGTAGGAGGCTTATAAGGACGGTAAACTTGTTTTACAAGTGATGCCGTTTCCTGCAATGTATTTTGCATAGCTAATTTTTCCTTCTTCCATGTAGCTTTTTCGATCTCATGATTTTCGACGAATTCCTTAGCACATTTTAAGCTCTCTGCCGCTATTTTTTGGCTTTCTTCCACCTTGTTATGGTTTTCTTCCGCCATCTTCTTTAGTTCTTCAACTTGAGAACTTAATTGAGAAATCATGGAAGGAGTGGAAGGTGATGCAGTAGATTGAGAAGTATGATCGCTCTTGTAATACATTTGTGAAGCACTCCCTAAATCGTAGACTTTTCCTTTCTTTTGCCCATCTACAACCTCCAAGTAGACTTTGTCGGGGTTTATCCAAATTCCTTTGTTCTTATATTCCTCAAGTTTTTCCATATATTCTCCCTGCATTAAGATATGTATTAGTAACTATGATCTCAAATGTTAAAACTTAAATAAACTAAATACATTTAAATAAAAACAACTATAATAAAAATACAAGCAATGACTTGGGACATCGTCCAGGCCTAAAACAAGTTTGGACTTCTAAAACATAATTTAATTTAATTTGAGAGTGGGTGGTGATGGTTTGGAAATTCCTGAATGTGAGGATTAGGGGTAAAAGTGTCATTTTACCTCTTCATAGATGCTCCAAATTACAAAGGTACAACTATTGGGGAACAGAGGATCAGGGGTATTTTTATTATCGTTGTTTTTTTTTTAAAATAAAAGATGCAACACTTATAGAAAAATAATTTATGTAAGCAGTTATTAGTAAAAATTTCGACAGAGTCTCCTTTGTAAATTGAAGAATTCCCTCCTATAGGGTATGGTTTCAAAATAAACCTGTGTCAATTCCCATTATGCCATACCACATTAATCATATGATTAATGCCGACAAATCATTCTCATCCTCCAACTCAATCACACAAACAAATAAACAATCCATAATATCTCCAAACATTAACTACTATATATATATTTTTTTTGTAATCTTAGAAAAATATAGAAGTATACTCATACCATGAATTTTTGAGACTTGTCACCCATCAATTCAACTTCATCATTTCCCACACAAACCGAATGAGTGCTCTCATAGACTTCAGCAGCCGTTGGTAAAATTCCATCCTTTTTCTTTGCCTTGTATTAGAAGAAGTTGTTAGCACTTAAAGAAAAACAACAAAAAAATATGGGGACATAGACTATAGAGCAATTGTAATAAAGACCAGTTATAGTCATCTATATTAAGGAAGCTCCCAAAAGATGCTTTGTTTATGCCACCCTGTCTTAACCTTTTTTGATTTTGTCAAACGGATTTTTGGGTCAATGGACTTTGGAATCTCCTTAACCTGTTCCCATAGTTGATGACCCGTCAATATTGGAGGAGGCAATCGAGTTTCTGCTCTTTTTTTGAAAAAAGCAGTTCGGTTTTTTCTAAAAGGATGTGTAGGTGGGAGAAATTGACGGTGACTATCAAACCATGATACTTTAGAGCCATTGTCTAGCCAAAAAGACCTATGCTTGTCCATGCATTATGGACACGCCATCTTTCCCGATGTAGTCTAACCAGATAACATCCCAAACGCAGGAAAGTCACTAACCGTCCATAAAAGGGCAGCTCGTAACTTGAAATTTTGCTTTGTGGATACATCATATGTCATTGTACCTACTTCCCATAAAGATTTCAATTCGTCAATCAAGGGTTGCATGTACACATCCAAGTTCCCTTTTGGATTTTTAGGACCCGGAATGAGCAAGGATAAAAACATAAACGGCTTCTTCATACATAGCCATGGAGGCAAGTTATATGGGGTAACAATTACAGGCCAACAAGAATATTGCCTTCCAAATTTTCCATGTGCTGAGAAACCATCTGTGCATAGACCCAATCTAACATTACGAGGCTCACTTGCAAAATCCTTGTATGTGTTATCAAGATGTTTCCATGCTTCACTATCACTTGGATGAGCAAGTGTTCCACTTACCCTAGGATTTTGTGAATGCCACTGCATTTCATGTGCAAGGTCTTTGGTCGCATAGAGCCTTTGCAATCTTGGCGCGATCGGGAAGTAGAATAACACTTTAGCCGGCACACATTTTCCACGAGAAGTCTTCTTATAACGCTCCCCCCCCCCCCCCCCGCATTTCGAACACTTTTCAAGGTGAGCTTTATCCTTCCAAAATAACATGCATCCTTTAGGGCATGCATGTATCTTCTCATGAGGAAGTTCAAGGCCCTTTACCACTTTTTTAGTGTCATAGTACGTCTTGGACATTGAATTCTCATCAGGAATTACTTCACTAATGAGCGATGAAATTCTATCGACACATCTATGGGGCAAGTTGTATTCACACTTCAAGCTCGTAATCCTTGAAGCCATCTCTAAAACAGATAATCGACTTCCTTCATACAATGGTTTTTGTGCGGCCGCTAACATCTCAAAAAACTTCTTAACTTGAGGATTAGGTTCTTCATCAACATTCCGAATATCTTCATGCATTGGATCACCATCAACTTGACCAAATGCATCAATAATCATGTCAACATACGGATCCGATGGCTCATCTGATACTTTTAAAGAATCAAAATCCTCTCCATGACAAACAAATTCGTAGTAGTCATTAAGAAATCCTTTTTTATACAAATGCTGTCTTACACTTTCAACATCTAAAAAAGGAACATTTTTACACTTTGAACAAGGGCATCTGATCTTGGAAGATTCTTGAAAATCACGATGTTGTTTAGCAAAATCAATAAACCCTCGCACGCCAATTGTGAACTCCTTTCTTAGTAGTCGACCTTCTAATCTCTCATACATCCATTTTCGATTCAATTTCTCCATGATCCTAACTGCTAAACGACATTGTTAATCATACAACATATGTAATATAGTCTTCTTATATATGTAATTTATTCTTAATTATTATATACGATACTTCGTTATTTAGGCAATTACTTAGAAGACAAAAGAAAGATAAGAAAGAAAAGGTGCAGCAGTTAAGTCATATAGTGTATACACAATCCTTTTTCTTTATTTTTGAAACAATGGAAAAAAAAGTGTTCAATATTCATTTGGAGGGACAACATAAATAGAGAGAAACCAAAAAAATAAACTTAATAGGAACCAAAAAAAAAAGAAACTTAATGCATCAGTGTATGATATCCACGATTTGCATATGCTTATAGTGAAACAAGCAGAACAAAACAATGATAGGTATAACTCAATATATTTTACCAAATCTAGAAACAAAATTTCAGAACAGCGGAAACTACATACATCAATATGAAGCAGCATATATATGAGAATAGGATATCTAGTGTTAAGGAAAAATATAAGAAAAATAATCTAAAAATATTATATAAGGTTTTAAGTCAGTTTTTGCCAAGGGGTATAGCTGAAAAATCTAAAAAACATGGTATGCTAGTAAGGGTTGTTTTCCTTGAAGTTTTATGCAATTTCTTTGCTCTGTTTTATACATTTAACTAGTTTAAGAGCAATGAATATAAGAGAATGTCTAAAATTCTAAACATATATTGAGGCTTTGAGAAATTCATGACAAAGTAACATTGAAGCAATCAAGCAGGTGATAAACCTAATCCACCTCAACCCCATTCCCTTCCCCCCACAAAGATCCTCTTTGACTAAAGACAGTAAATCCTGACATGAAATGTATTCTCATAGAATAAGTGAAATTGATCAGTAAATAAGAAGTTGGGCAGACTGCATTTTTCAGAAGCTTGGGGTATAAACAGACAAATTATTGACTTTAGCCTAGAAAGAAACTACAAAACCACATCAAATTTTTTATATTGTTACCATTATGTGACAGAGACTTCGGTCATTTTTAATCGATAATATAGGGCCAAATCTCCCTATTAGAAAAGTAAGTTCAAAGTCTGGCCAAGGAAATCACTCATTAGTAGAACCAAGGAGAAACACATACACATCTTTGATATTGAATTAGAAATGTTTTCCAATTCCATATGACACAAATATAAATGATGCACCCATGAAATTATTGAGGAAGTAAACAAAACAGTACACATTATAATAACTACAAGAACTTGAATAAAAGAACTCCTTGGGATATATGTCATTGAGGCAACCAAATACCCTTTTAATCACACAGAAGCTGCAACATGTCATAAAATATACAAGCATGTGTGAAATAGACAATGCTAATCATCAATGACATGATTAGTCAATGTGCCAACAGTTTAATATGAAGATTTCAAGGTAAATATACAACTAAACATGATCACTTTTTACATTTCCTTTTTATCATCGTCATTTCTATCCTTAATTACAATGTAAAAATGCATATATCCTTCACTTAATTATTCTTTCATTTTCTGAAAATTGTACAGAGAATTCAAACTTATCCAGACCTTGCAAACCTCAGGGCAAATAAAAATCAGTCATAAAGAAATTAATAATAATTAGGGATTTTTGAATAATAAATCATGTTTGAATGGTTTTACAATAATTGACTTCAAAAATAACCCAAAAATTCGCAATTGGCAGCCAAACAAAATCAATTCAATCAATTCGCAATAAACCAGATTAAATTCAATTCAATCAATTCACAACTCATTCAATTCGCAATTTAATCAATTCGAAATTTATAATCAGTTCGCAATTTGCAAACGAAACTAGACTAAAATTAAAAAAATTGGACAAAATACTCAATGATAACCCTAAATCGCAATTAGCAAATTGCAATATGAGAAAGATTGAATGGACGGTAGGAAGAGGAAGCATGCGTAACTAACCGGGAGGAGATGGATGGCGCAACGGCGACAGATGAGGACGACGATGGTTTGATCTGAAGTTCTGAATTATGGCTTTCGTTTTCCCTTCGTTTTTTGTTTCTTTTGGTGAGGATGAAGAGTATCGAGTAGCACGAAAATAAGGAGTGATATAATTTTATGTTTTTTAGGAAGGAGTGATATAATTGTTTATTGTGTTTTTTTGGCGGTAACAACTCATTATACTACGTAGTACTTGTTTCCTTACTTTTGTACTAAGGGTTTTTATATTTTCGTAACAAAAAAAAAATAAAAAATAAAAAAATTAACTTATTATATATTAAGGGTTTTAATTCCTTTTTAATAAATTTTTTAAAAAAAAATAGTAGCAACTACCATGTTAGTTGCAATATTAGTCCCAAATTTTTTAAAAAAATTGTTTCAAATTTGTTAGCCTTAGCAACTGCAATTTAGTTGCAAAAAGTTATAGGACTGTTGCAGATTAGCGACTGCATAGCAACTATTACAAAATCTGTTGCAAAATTTGCGACAACTCCTTTTTTGCAGTCGCAAAAATAATTTTTGCAACTAATTATTATGGTAGTCGCAAATATTAGTTGCTAATTAGCGACCGCATAGCAACTACTGCAAAATCAGTTGCAAAATTTGTGATTGCTCGTCTTTTTCAGTCACAAAATTATTTTTGCGACTAATTATTATGCCAGTTGCAAAAATCAGTTGCTAATTCCCCTTTTTCTTGTAGTGATAATCCACTAAATTACACCTTTTTTTTTACAGACACTAAATTACACTCTTAACAATCTGTCACCCTCATTTTAGATGTATTAGATCACATGAGGCCCACTTTTCTTAAATAACGTGAAAAAAAACTCCTTTGGGCTAATCCGGATTCGGGGATCAATTATGGGTGGTTAGAATCTAGTCTTCTCCCAATTGTTGTTGTATGGGATCGAATACAGGTCAACCATATTAAGTGTAGTCTCAATCACTACTACACCAATATGGCGATATTCAATTGGTAGGAAATAGTTCCTTATGCACATGTAAAATTTTTTATTTTATTTTAACACATGATTTATATCGTAAATTGATTATTTATTTATTTAAAAGTAACCTAGTCGATGGGTAAAAATTATTAAAGAAAATAATGTAAATGATAATAAAATCTGGAGTAATTCAGCAGTACAGTGTAATTATTTTTCATCAAATAATATTCTTAAGGTTTGTTGAAAAGATTATAAAATTAAGGGTTAAAATAAAAATCAGGAGAAATGCGCGAATAAATGGAATTTATATGATGCATATTGATCAATATACTACATGCTTTTTCTTCGGTAACTTTGACAACAATCCTTTTTCCAATCCTTTAACTAGCTTGGAATAATTTTTGTATACATCTGGTAAACAGTATTTTACTGTAAATCAAGGGTGACTTTTTATCAAATTTAGGGTCACTTTTACAATTTTTTGGGTAACTTTTATCAATAAAGCATAAATACTTCGTAATTTTTATTTATGTTAGGATAACTTTTATACAAATTAAGGTAACTTTTGCTCATTTTAGGGGTAACTTTATAACGGATGTACAATATTTACTATACATCCGATTTATTTAAAAGTTTGTCTTTTACTTGAGCAATGAAAAAATAAAAGGGAAAAAATATTGCAGAAGCTAGATCGTAATTTGAAACTATGATACCATGTTAGATTTTGTGAAAACTCCTCATATTGGAGTGTATTCCATTGATTCCAATATATAGGGTTACAAGGGACCTAATCACTTTAGGAGATCTCAAAAGATAATTACAGAAAATATACAAACTATATTCTTACCTTTAAAAAGTGTAAAAAAAACACTTATACGTTCTAAAAAGTGTAAAAATAAAACACTTATGAATAGTGTGAGGACAATTATTATATTCTTAAAATGTTTCTTTACCTATATGCCCAAATTGATATAATGTTAAGGATTTTTTAGATTTTAACGCCTGATAAAAACGAAAAAAATTGATATTAACACCTCCAAAAAAAAATTTATTTTAACACCTCTTATAAAAATTTAAATTAGAAGTTACCACCAAAATCATAGTTCATTTGACGGAACTGTTACTTGGTCCCACTCTAACGGATAGTTTTTTGAATTCCCTCTATATATGCACAATTCTCCCCAATTATCCCCTATTTTAACTTAATCTTTGTTGGAAACAGATCGATTTGCTTCAAAATAACGAAAATTACTAGAGTAATTGGTTGTATTTTAGTTCGTGGAAGACATTGAAGCTACTGAAACAGGTATTTGGATTTATACGAATGCAACGAATTATGTTGAATCAAATTGGGTAAATTTAGGTTGGTTGTCTGTTAATTATGTAATAAATTCATTAGGTTTATTAATTAGGATTGTTTTATACTCGAATTGATACTTAGATTGTGTTATGTATGAATGTAATTTCCCAATTACAAAACTAGGGTTTATCAGAAATTGAAATTTGGGCCTTTTTGTATTAGTTAATTAAAATTGAAAATTGTTGTTGATAATGTTAATTCGTTGATGATTAAATGTGTATATGTAATTGTTGTTCTAAAATTGATGCAGATTATGGCGTTTGTTAGCTCTTCCCCTTCTAATGAAAAGAAATGCAATTGTGGTGTGCCAATGGGCAAGCTAACTAGCTGGACAAAGGAGAATCCAGGGAGGAAGTTCAAAGCTTGTAAGTTTTATGATCCAATCACAGAAACAAGGGGCTGCAAATCTTTCGAGTGGGTTGATCAACCTGATGGGACAGATTGGCAAACAGGGGGTATTAACAACCTCTTATTGGATAAGAAGCTGCTAAAGGGTGAAGTCAATGAATTGAAAAGGGAAGTTGACAAAATCAGTGGTCAAAGGAGGTGCCTACTAAATGAAGTTGATAATTTGAAGATTAGATGCAAGGCCTTAAAAGGTGACAGGAACAGAATGAACAGGGAGTACAGTGCAGGGAAGACAACTTCAATGAACTATTTTGGTTGGTTGGGCATTACAATTTGTATTAGTTTGTCAATGTTTGTTGTTTTCATAATGGGTAGGGGTGGTTAACTTGTATTAGTATCAATTAAGTTATGGAACCTAAATTTAAATATTTTGTATTGGCTTGAGTTGTTATGAGAATGGTTTCAATGATATTTGCATTGACTGAGTTGTTGATTTTTAAAATGCTTTAACATTGCTAAAGGAATTGAAGATGGTAAAAGCTGTGAAACTCTTGCACTTTTTTCATTGGCAAAATAAGTAAGCACTTCAAAAGTAGTTTGACAAAAGAAGCTTACTTTACACTGCCTTAAAGCAATGCAAATCATACATACAACTTTTAAAATGTCATATGGTAATCAAACCCATAGGAAATCTACCAAATCATACATAAAACTAACAGATTGTTCACTGATAAACATTGTTCACCAATTAGACACATGAATTCACTGGGTGAGGTTCATCTTGAAGGACTGCATCTTGCCCCTTGTCACAACACCTGTTTGCTGAGCTGGTTGTGCTGCAGGCTAACTTGAGGGGGTTCTTACCTTGGTTGGAGGCTCTTTCTTTGGGTTTAGATGACTTGATCTAGGTTGACTGGAGCTAGCCCTCTTCTTTGTTTTTAATTGACTGGAGGTTGGTTGGGTTGAGGTAGGTTGTCTTCCAACTCCTGCCTCTGTTGCAGCCTATCAGACATGTTGTGTCAAAATGGAATAGTTAATGACATGTATTATAGGATTGAAAATGTACCAAAAAAAAGAGTAAGCAAGTTGAGGTTGATTTGGGTTACCTTTTTTACAGCCCTGAGCTCTTTCTTTTTTCTCTCCTCTACCATCCAAGGTGTATTCAAGGGGGGTCTGCCTGCTGCCTTTATCAGCTCTGTTGCTGGTTCTGGAGGTAGTTTGCAGGTCTTGGCATAATGCCCGAAACCCCCCACAGTGTTTGCATTGCTTCTTCCTCTTTGTTGAGCTACTTGCAATTGAACATTCCCCTGGCTCAAGCTTCCTTTTCTTGCTTTTTGGTCTGCCTGGCTGCACTTTAAATGCAGGGGGTTGTGGTTCTCTCATTTTGACTTTCTCCCAGTGTTTGGGACCTGGCATTAGGTGGACAACTGGTTCATAAGCAGCTCTGTATGTTTCCATTGTGTATTATGGGTCAACATAAGCCTCTATGTCACCCCTCATATCCAGCATGCATGCATAAGCATGAACACAGGGTATCGCAGTGAGTTCCCAATGGTAACATGTGCATGTTTCTTTCTCCATGTCAACCAACACTTGGTCATCCTTAAGCTGCACTTCATATGTGTTGTCCCTTGATGGCTGCACCATACACCCCCTAGCCACAAAATCTATCCTATGCAGAACATGCCTGACATATGGCACTAAGTTACTATTTATATTTTTGGCATCCTCCCACTTTTCATTATTCCTGTTCATTATATACCTCCTCATCCATTCCATTTGGGTGAGGATTGGTTTATCTCTTGCAAGCCTGATTACTGCAGTGAAAGTCTCACACGTGTTGTTCAACAACATGTTGGACTTGGAGTAGGTGGAAAAGCATGTCTACACCAATGCTTGGGAGGAATACTCACTAAGTACTCATATGCAGCTTCATCAAGAAATTTGATAGACTCCATGGCTATCTCATACTCAAACTGACAAATACATACATATACAATCAGAAAAACACTCAAACTGACAAATGCATTTAGTAAAATTAAACATGTAATGTCATTACACAATCTAACATGCACTGCAAATGTAAAACTTAGCACATCATAGGGAACAAGTTCACTTACAAAAGTGTTAGCCCTAGCAGCACTCCAGAAAAGCTCCTTAAATGTTGCTCCAGTGAATTTGAGCTTAAAGTTGGCCCAAATATGCCTAACACAAAACCTTTGATCTGCTTTGGGAATAACATCAGCCATTGCTTCAATCAATCCCTAAAAAAGGCAAACATCAATTAACCATATTAGAAGAAACTCAAACACTTACACATGAATAACAGTTTTGGAAGAAAAAAGTAAGGTAGTAATACCTTTTGCCTATCAGACATGATGGTTAGCCCAGCTCCTTGGTCATGTGTGAACATAGCCATTAGAGACTCTAAGAACCAACCCCAAGTCTCCTTGTTTTCCACCTCCACTGTGGCCCAGGCTAGAGGGAACAAATTGTTGTTCCCATCTTTATCCACTGCCACCAAAATCTGCCCAGGGTAGGCACCTTTGAGGTGACAACCATCCACCCCAATAAGTGGCCTACAACCTCTTACAAAACCATCTCTCAGAGGTCTTAAACACATGAACATTCTGAGAAAC